CCGGCGTGTGTTCCAGCATGAGAACAAGGACGCCATCGATACCGAAGCGAAAAGGCTTTGTGCCGAAGCCATTGAAGAGGGACAAAAGAGGCCTAAAGGGGGAGATCCCACTCATTTTGATTTTCGGGAGCGGGTCGTGACTCAAATGATGGGAAAACTGAAGAAAAGGGAGAAAGACGTACTGCAGAGGACGGCCGAGGAGTACAACAAGAAGGGAGTTGACCCGGAACTCAAGTCCAAGTAAGTTAATTTTCATTATTCTAACGTTGGCTTATCTGGACCTTTGGTAGACTGGCTGTAAAGAACTGCACGGCTCGGATGCATGCATTTTCCAAGGAACTTTATGACACAATGGGTGTCCGGGTCTTTATCTTAGGATGTTATCTGAAGCCCGATGGTAATTTGGACGTCTCGATGTACGACTTCAATCAAGAACTTGGGAATGGGAAAGACTTTATTGATAACCATAGCCGGACTTTCCATGAGGAAGGAATATCGGTATCTTCTTGGAGAGCACACAATGAAGAATACTATGGGTTGGAGGATCTTGCTTTGGCCGAAGGAGGACACCGATCCCGGGGTGCTATGACTTTGGAGAAGAACCTATACCTGGAACCTATTCTACCCGATCCATCAAAACCACCACTTAAAACTTCCCGTGATATTCGAATTTGGTGGCTGAATGTTCTTCGTACATTTGTCAACCAGCACTATAGTAAGCCGGTGCCCAGAGATTTCTTGCCCTGTATCACTAAACATTTGTCTACTTAGATCTTGCAGCTGGGCAGAGTAAGGGATCGGCTCCTTGGACGGCTATTGGATCAAAGTTACTTGACTTCATTGATCTAGAATATATACCCCCGGCTTGGAGATCAGTAAATGGAGAAGGTAACAACGTTTACAAGTTTCTTGATCCCTCCAAATTCCCGATGGAGATGGTCACTGAAGCTCTCCAGTTTTGGTATGAACGTCAAGAACAACACANAGTTGCCTTTCGATTTAAATCCTTTCTTGAGGGGAAAATGCTGCTGGAAGC